ATTATTAGTAATTCACTATAGTAAGAGAGCAAAGATAGTCAAAGTTAAGTAAAAATGTTTATCTATATCCATACTGTATTTATGGATATCAAATTTCCATGTTTTGGTTAGTCTGGTCTTCTATGATCTGGGCTATGTCTTTATTCATAAATAAATGAAAGTAGAAAAAAAAAGTCACAAAACCTGGACCACTGTCTACAAAGAAACAAAACCATTTAGGAGTTACATAACATTTGTTTAAGCAGAAATTAAACCGCCAGGTTATAGAACTGGCAAGGCTTGGTTCAAAATAGAAACTGAGAAAATATGAACAATTAACAAAACCAGCATTTCAACAACTATTTATTAAAAGTAAAGAACAAACTTCTCAATATGATACAAAATACTGAAGCACCAACTATAATGGTAAGATGCGCTGTATACTTTAAAGACAACAAAATCTGTTCCTTCTGGTTAAGATCACTGCATAAGTAAAAGAAATAATCCCATGTGTCCTAAAAATTTCCACTAAAGTGCTTGAAATCTTCTGTAAGAACCACTTTTCTAGTTCACACTATCTCTTAATAGCAATGAAAGCATTATACTTATTTTCTTGAAAATTTCTAGTAAAAAAAAGAGAATTATCAATGAATGGATTAATAGGAAACCTGAGAATTGTTTGCTGAACTAAAAAAAATGGCATAAGTAATAACTATAAAATGTAAAAAAGGAGGAAAGGAGAAGATAATGATGTTTTTAATGGCATTATTTACGTTATCAGACAGAATACTTTTAGAGTTCCAGACTCAAATGCCCAATGAAGGGAAATATCTGCAGAAGGTCCTCAAATATTGTGCTAAAGAAATACTGATAAAGGACAGTTCAAAGATAAACAAGGAAAAATTAAAAGAAAGGAGAAACTATAATTATCTCTGCCAAAGACCAAAAATCTGGTGATAATCCAAAAGGAAAAGGAAAACATTTAAAACCTACGTTTATGTTTTATTTCTGTAAAAGTGTGGTACAAAATGTTAACTCTGTTACTTTTCATTAAAAATGTGGTCTAGGACTTCTGGTAAGATAGAGCAATAGGCAGACAACCGACACAGACCCTTTTCAACAAAGAAAAGAAAAACCAATTGACAGAGATACAGAAGATAATCCTGGAACCCTGAGCTTTGAAAGGAACTATACAAAAGTGGATTACGTACCAACTAGTGGAAAAACCTGAACTAAAATAGTAAGTACAGGCAGTTGGAGCTGCAGACTGTCAGCTACTCTGACGGGACCAATAGCCTGAATATTTCCAAGTGGTGTTGGGACCTGAGAATTAACCGAAAGATCAGTCCCAGTCACAAGGACTACAAGGACAACAACTGCTCTGGTACCCTATGACTAGGAAGGGAAACAGCAAGGAGGGAGACAACCTGAGCTGTGAACTTTCTGCTGTACAGAGGGCACAGCAATTTTGACTGTTTACACCTGCCAGCCATTTTGGATATTTAAAATGACCAAGGACACAGCCATTTTGAATGTTTACAAGTGTCGGCCATTTTGGATATTTAAAGTGACTGAGGGCGCAGCCATTTTGAATGTGTACAAGCGGCAGCCATTTTGGATAGTTAAAGTGACTGAGGGCACAGCCATTTTGAATGTTTACAAGTGGCAACCATTTTGGATTATAAAGTGATAGCATTCTCATTCGGATTCCAGGG